CTAGTCTTACACTGCCAATTTAGGGACGGCTAGCGCAGATAGCCCTCGTGTAGCTTTGCGCGAAATTAAAAACAAATACAAAAGAGTAGTCCAAAAGTTGGCGGTGGGTGTTGCTGAATAGTTGCCTTTCCTCTAGTCTTTCACTGCAGTTGGTCCTCGTGCAGCTTTGCCCGAAATTCAAAACAAAACAAATAAACAATCTACATATTCAAGAGGTCAACGCTGAACTTGACCCTTCCTGGTACAAAACACGGACCGAATTCTGACGAAGAAGAAGGAGATATATTTTCAAATCAAATTACAACAGTTAGTTACTGCGTTTAAAGTTATATGACCTGACATCTATACTCTGGGTCACTTGTCTTTTAAAACGACAAAGGTTAGAAACAACTAGGGTTCAGATATTACCGACTTTAATAACAAGTTGGCTCCAAACTAAAGAAGCAAGAAAATGAATGATATAAAATGCGTAAAGTAGTTTTTAATTAAAGAAGGGTCATGGATAATGTCCATGGAACTATAGAAAATATATGCTAAAAGTTTATAAAACAAATATTTGAAATTCTAGTTGAAAAATGTGTTTTCCACGTAATATAAAAGCCTAACTCCGCGCTTACATGTGAACGTTAAACAAACATTAAATCTCAGTGTTGCAGTGCAGATATTTCTCTTGACATTTTCAAGCTTTCACTGCTTTTTAAAAATTTCTCTTATATTTTTGTAATACCTAATAATGTGATATGAGGGTATTTATGGTTCCGCGCCAATTATTATTTGTTGATATTTTTAATAATGTGCTGTGGGAAAAAAAGTTTGTGTTAAAAGGCAGATGTCGTTGTACCAACTTCGTTCGTCTTTATGTATGATAAATGATAAATAATAAATAATTATAAATAAGTAGTCCTAAGTTAAAAATTTAAGCATGATAAATGAGTAGGCCTAAGTCAAAGATTTAAGCATGATAAATGGGTAGGCCTAAGTCAAAGATTTAAGCATGATAAACGAGTAGGCCTAAGTCAAAGATTTAAGCATGATA